ACGTTGAACATTAAATGCGATCATAATAATTATCTGTAATATCTCTATTTGTTGGTGTAAGTCATTATATACTGAAGAAGGTAGATGGCTACATCACAAAACCTAACAGAGTAAACGTCAGGTTAGCCGTATTTGTTATCTGTTTCTTACGTCATTGTAATGTGTCTACAGGAAATGTGTGGGTGTCAATTATGTATTGTCATTGTGGATTAGTCTGAAGTGTAAAGTTTTTAGTTGATCGTTTGTTTGTATTGTGAATAAGTTGAATCTGAAGATGACTACTGCTAAGGTTGTCGAAACTTCAGTCAATAACAAGAAAAACAGTCCTTCTCAGGACTATACTAACCTGGACGATCTACATCTACAAACATGTAACGATACTCCCGGGTTCAAACCATTTACTTTATTACGATCAATTGGACGACAGAGCGAACAACTTGCTAATGACTACATACGTTTTGCAAGCAACGTCAGACGCATACGCTAACAACTTTGGTTTAACCATCGCTGCACGGACTTTGGTCGTGTTCCAGCAGGACTTAGAATTAAGTTCCCAATGAACACACAAGAGGATATTCAGATTGTCAACTTCACCAGCAGACAACGGGTACGAGCACGGATTAACGACTGTCACAGACGAATCAACTATTACATGAAGCAACAAGAAAAAAGATTGAACAAACTAAAAGAACTCATACCAATGACAGTAAGTGACACTTTATTTTCTACGATACAAACAATTTCAGAGAAACCAGCAAACAAGACACAACGTTTAAATCGCACTAAAACACGTACAAGACATAAACATGGCGATAACTGGGTGAGGAATATTTCTTCCCCCTCATTAGACGAAACTGAAACACGACTACTGTTTTAATGACTAAAACATCCCATAATACCTAAACGAATCTCGACTGAGACGATGGTATCAAGTGTTGAGGCTGTCCTAGCGTATCAAAGAGACTTTTCAGAGACAACCAAAGACGAGATCAGAAGCAGGGTAGCCTCCACTTTACAATCGACCTCTAAACGTGACAAAAACTTGACAAAGGACGAAGCACTCAAATGACTAAAATGCGACAACAACATCTTCATTTTACCAGCAGACAAAGGACGCGTGACTGTGGTCATGGACAGGAATGATTACTTTAACAAAATGGACGCACTTGTTAACGACAGATAAACGTACGAACAACTCAAACGAGACCCAACACCATCACTAGTACGCAAACTTAACAGCAAGATCTTCTCTATGAGAAAATCTAACATATCTGAACGTATTTGCTATCGACTCTGATGTTCACAACCACGACCACCCAGACTACACGGACTACCAAAACTTCACAAACCACAAATACCGATGCGACCAATTGTATCATTCTGTGGTTCGCGTACTTACGAACTCTCAAAGTACATGACTGACATACTACAACCACTTACAAACAAATCAAAACACAAGCTACAATCCACTGAAACTTTCATTAAAAAACTGAGCACTATACAAATACCGGACAACTATATACTAGTGTCTTTTGATGTGAAATCACTGTTCACCAGTATTCCACTTAATCTGGCACTTACTTGTAAAAAAACCCTTATTGCAAACACCACGGACGTACTGCCATTACCGACAGAAGACATTATGGAGCTACTGGAGCTCTGTAGTAATGCAATCTATAGAGGAAAGGGGGCTCACGACTTACAAACATGCGCTACCTTTTTGGTTTCGCTACGTAGATGAAACAATCACAGCACTACATGCAGACGAGATTGATGACTTTCACACTCACATCAACAAACAGAACAGCCACATACAATTTACCAAAGATGACGAAGAAAACGGAACTCTTCCTTTTCTCGACTGTTTGGTAAAACATGACAATCGAAAACTACGAACAACAGTTTATCGCAAGCCAACACATACTGACCGACTACTAGACCAATCATCTTACAACCTTACATCACACAAAGCCACCACAATCAGAACATTAACAAGACGTGCACAAATCATATGTGATTCACCGGAGGCTCTACACAATGAAAACAACTATCTCAAACGTGTTTTTGACAAAAACAACTATAACTCTGACTTTATCAAACGCCACACTTACAAACCCAACGAACCCAAAGAAACAAGCAACTCAATGACAAAAGCAACGATACCTTACATCAAAGGTACGCCTGAGACTGTCTCGCGTATCTTACGACCATACAACATACGCCTCGCACATAAACCAATCACAACGTTACAACAAGTACTAACGAACATAAACGACAAAAAACAACCCAACGAACGACAAGGTGCAGTTTACAAAATAAACACTCCTTTGACTGGTAAACCTTCTAAACATCCCAGTCATTCCTCCTACTATCACATCTTAAACCCACAGGACATACCACTACCTTCGAGGATTTTAAAATATTGTCTTCATGCTCAGACTCGCAAGAGCTTCTTATTCACTAAAGCCTTTTAATCAACAAAATAAAACCATCTCTTAACGTCCAAGGGAACTCCATCAGTTGCTTTAATCTAATTTCGTCCGTCCTCATGTCTGTATACTTTATGATTGTGTGTGTTTTTTGTTTCTTTCGTGATTTCTACTTATACCACGTCATACCATCTTATCCCATATTTACTTTCACGTTTTCATCCCACCATGTAATTTAATTTTATGTAAATAGCTATTGTATATATATCCTTTATACTTGTAATGTAATACTGTCTGATTATGTCTTGAGAGTCAAGACAAAACGTTACGCTTCTAAATAAATATTTTTGTTTTTATACGTTATTTTTGTATTAAATGGCTCTTTTAAAAGCACTTTGCTGGGCTTTAATATTTATATTAACAATTTTTTCAAGTAAAATTTCATTTGTGTACACACCTACTGTAATATAGCTTTAAATTAAAGTTTTGTCAAGAAGACTGCGCTTTCAGCTTTAAAAGTAGTGTTAATCACATGCAATGTCTTGTTTTCACTTTGTTGTTTACTTTTAAAAACATTTTTATACGACTATTTTACTTTGGATTTTCAGTTATATATTTTAGTAAATAAAAATGTTTAAAATAATGTAACCATATTACCATAGACAACTATGAGGCTTTTCTGCAACTTAAATCGTGTTGTGACTAGAAAAAATATTAAAGGAAATGTGCGTGATTTTCCATTGGGTGGGGAAAGTTTGGGAAGTTGTAAGGAACTATGATTAATGTAAATAGCTTTAAGCGCCAAATATCTTTATGTCCTAAAATATGAGTAAGGTAATAAGCTTAACATTTTCTTGATAGATATAAAGCTTGAAATCCGCTTGCATTGTTTCTTAAACAAAATAGGCTAAGAATAATTGGTATTGGGAATCAATTGATCTCTCTGATCGAAATTAATTTTATATTAATTAGGCATACTCTGGGTTAACTTTTGAGAAAAATACTTATTGCTTTAGCAAAATTAGAATGTTTTTCCATCTTATAATAATTACAGGATTTTGCATTTTAATTCTGATATTGTTTTGTAAAGTAGCTGGCTTCTTTAAACAATGATGAGAAATAATAATAATGAACATTTTATAGTTAATTTTTATTTTCATTCTAATATCAGATTACGTTTGATTTCGAAATTGTCATTTTGTATCACTGTGTTACGGACAAGAAAAATTATCGAAACTTTTACGTGGTTCATCGATGTCAGTATCATAAAACCGTCCCATAGTACAGGACCAATGAAATGAATATCACTAAGCCCTTGATAACCGAGCGCAAGGTCTTTACGGAGAAATATTGGACCGAAGTCTTTTTGTACAGACCGAGCCCGTAGGGGGAGGTTTGTACAAAAAGACAGAGGTCCCATATGACCGAGAAAGGGAGGCATTATTTGACTTGAAACGAAGCTTTCTTTCTTTCTCCTCCTTGCATTTTTCTACGTGTTGCCTTTACTTTTCTAGTTTTCGTCCATAAAAAATAAATCGTTTCAAATTGTATTGTCTAGATAGTTCAACTGTTTTCTAAGTGTTTTTCCTTCAAATCACATTCGTAAATGGTTTATTGTTTCTTTTATTTTGCGTTTTGCTGTTTGCATTACGAAGTTTGTTTATATTGGACAGTAAAATTACGCGTTTTGGATCGTGGTCGATTACGGGAAAATAATGGACAGGCAAAAATGTTTCTGAGCGAATCATAGCGCGTCATTTAGCCGGAAGTGACGCTTGCTATATAATAATTTTGGGTAATCAAATTTATTTGTAAAATTTTTTCCAATAATAGGCACAATAATGATATTGTGATAGGCACACTTCATCAAAAGTAAAAAAGTATCAAAAGTAAACTAAATGCAACAATAAAATTTGCACTGTAAGAAGGATTTGAACTTGTGCGTTAAGTCCAACTTTAATGCTTCCCAGTTCCCGCAGTTAAACATCGCACTTGTTGTCATACTCGTGTACTCCTCTACTCGCTAATGTAGGAGCTGAAGTAATGCTTTGTTTGCGATACATTTTTACCTTATCCGTTTGTCTCTGGTTACAGTATTTTATCTTTAATGTCTTCAAAGAATGACGAGAACATGAAATTATATGCTTAGCTTTATTTCTTGCAAAATCTCTTTTAACATGTTGCAAATATTACTTAAATTTAATTATGAAATGGCGAAAGAGTGGTGATGAGACTTCTGAAAGTATAGAAAATTCTACCTCCTAGAAGGTCAGAGGGAACTGCAGCACTTTTTAGTCAATGCAAAGAGTCAAAATATTCTTTATTTTTATTTCAACATTCACAATGAATGAATAGTGAATAGTAAATATTTTTTATCATTATATCATAAATAAACTTTTTTTATCATTATTTTTATTATAGTTATTCAAAAGAGCAACGTGTATAACTTGTATAACTTTATACAATGTTGCAAAAATACATATTGAATTAACTTTTCAAAACTTGCTTTACAAAAACATATTAGTTTGGCAAATAGTTGAGTGGAGATTGGTTTATCAAAATAATTCTGGCTTTATGCAGTGAACACAATTTATTATTTTTGCCATGCTTAATGATACAAATACAAAGAGTTGAATTTGAATAAATGTAGAAGGCAATAACTGTTGTTAAATCTAAAAACCTAAATGAGAATTATAAAAGTGATTTAATTTTAAAATCTTTTCAGTTCAGTCTCCTTGTTCTAAGAAGATTAAGTTGACATTGTAATATTTAATTTATAGCATAGTTTATCTTTCGTGCGGAAAATCTATCACAAACTTTCTTCTGTGCTTCTCTGATTCAAAAATCCAATGTTCTTTTCCTCTTGAAACGTCAAATTTTCTGAATGTAATTATTAGGTAGGTACTAACAATTCTCGTTTTAGTTAGCTTATATAGATTAGTCGGAATATTTGTAATATTCAGCATAGAATATTTTGAAAGGAGAATTGAAAAAATGTGCGATGGAAACTAGCTTTTTAGACTACTCACTCCTTCCTCGTACTAAATACTTGTAGTTGTGGCCATCATTGTTATTGCACGACTTTTACAATTCAGAGTCCCCAGAAATTATAAACTTTGAATATTGTCACCCCTTTGTCCCGCTCTCTCAATTTACCACTGGTTACTCAAGTATAACCCGTTTTTTCGAATGTGACGAAAACAATGTAGTAGAAAATTATAGTACAGTTATTCGTACGCAAACAAACCTCTATGTCATACAACAAAAATAGCGTTATTGGTTTCTGTTGAATTGAACGTCTGTTTGCTGTGACTTTTTTTGTTTCTTGCTATAGCCAAGATCAACTTAGTTTTGGCGTCGGCATATTCTTTGCCTTCGATTTCCAACAGACCTTCTTTATCAGGCTGTCTTCGTGTTTCACCTAGAAGTTCGATGACTAGATCGTCGATCTTTGACGGTATGTTATATTTTGGTAAATTAATTTGCTCTGGAGGAAGAATATCCAAAGAACAGTGATCCAAGCACACAGGAATAAATTTATTCTTCTTATTTCTATTACGAAATAGCTCTCCGTGGATAATATCTAGTCCCGACAAGAAATTAAGCGTATTGACGTCTTCGAATGTGCTGTCTGAATAGAAAAATTGACAATTTGTGACTCTGACTTTAAAATATAAGTGTGTTGGAAAGAAGAATTAAACGTATTCTATTCTTATGTAATAATGGCGCTAATGCTTTTGTCGTTGGATTTTGGAAAAAATTTGATTTTATAATTTACGTTTGCTACCATTGCTAACAGCATTACCTTTACTACCATTGTTGCCAATGCCACCATTATTAACATTGTTACCTTCATTACCAATACTACCAGTACTATCTTTACTACCTTTTCTATCAATGCTAGCATTTTTACTATTGTTAACCACTGCTACGTTTTCTATCATTGCTATCAATATTATCCTCACTACTATCACTATAATCACTACCTTTGCTACCATTTCCACCATTACTACCTTTATAACTATTGTTACCATTGCTACTATTGCTATTATTGCTACTTTCATACTGCCATTGCTACTACTACTATTATTCACGATAAATACCATTACTACTATTGCTATTTTTACTACCTTTTCGCGATTGCTAACTATACTACCATTGCAAGTATTGTTGGCACTCCTTTTATTGCTAACTATTGCTACCTTTACTACCATTGCTACCATTATTGAAATTGCAACAATTGTTAGCACTGTTTTTATTGCTACCTATCTTTGCTACCATCGCTAGTATTACTACCATGGATAAATATTGCTACCAATACTACCATTAATGTTTGAAACATCATTCAAAAGTCACATCGTTTCCTGTTTGCATTTTCATCAAACCGATTGAGCTAACTCATGGTATTAAACCTGATTTTATGATTGTATTTATGCGTTTGAGCATGAATATAAATCATAAACACAACGCACGAATACGCCAAAAATGTTATTTCAAAGCTTACAAAAGAAAAGAAAATTTCCAATCTAATTAAATATATTAATTTCTTAGCGTAATATATTTGTCAAGTTATTAAACAATTTCAGATGAACCAATCTAAATCCAACTACCTATTTCCACCAATGGAATGTTTTATCAAATCTCGCACTCTGGTGTTAAGGTAACGTTTTTTAGCAACGCTTAGATTTTTTTACATCTTATAATTTAATTTCCACTATTACCGATATTTCTTCCTTTTATTTTCATTTTGACATTTTTATTGTAACCTAGCGATAAGAACAAGCCAAAAAACATACCGTCTGAGACATGGATACGACACATCCATGGAATGATGACATAATCACAAATAGATATTTTTTCTTCAGTGAACTTTAGAATTCCCTGTGATCTTTCGTTCATGGGTGCAAAAATGTCAACTTCACAATGAATACGTCCAGTCTCTGTCAGTAACACAGCTAAAGTGTGTACAACATCCGTGCACAAATCACAGTGATTTGGGTTTAAAATAAAAACACAAACCTCACCTGAAATAAATCAGATATGTTACGGATTTTTGAAGCAAATTCGAATCCTTAGGCTAAAAGCTATAAACTATAAATAGCAACAACTATTGGTTACCCAAGTGCAAGCATGCCAGATTTTTTTAAGTGATAAAATGTGCAGTGGAATATAAAATATTTGTGATCGCATTTCAGTTTGTATATTAGCTTATACAGTTTTATTAGCTTGTATAATTTAAGCTTATATAGTTTCACAGTTCAGAATAGGGGTGGTAGTGTTTAAGCTCATGCTACCCAATCTGGTAAAAAAGTTTGCCTACATTGTTACAGTTTGGCTGATGTTTCATTTAAATAATTTATTATAAAATATTATGAAGTAAAGAAAGTAAAATTTTGTAAGATACCTGTCGAATGTATATTGCTGTGTCCGTATAACTCCAATCTCATCGTAATTTTATTGTGCCAAGACTTTGGTTGAACGCGGATATAACGTGCCGTTATGGGAGGTGAGAAAACATTTTTCACAACAGAATTCCTATCACGGTTGCCAACAAATACCTAAAAAGTTAATTATTTTTTTATAAACGACAAACGTGCCATAAACGATCATCGATTTCCGGGGTATTCATCGGAGCCTTAAGTAAAGATTAATTGTGACCGCTACGCAACTGAAATGTTAGCAGGCGACAATCTTTGGACAAAGAAAAGCTTGAGTGTTGGGTCATTTGAAAAATAGTGTGTCCTTAACGCGATGCATTTTGTCATAATGCACTCAATATAAATGCGTATTCCTAGCTAATTTTTCATACGTGTTAAGTGTTTGAATGGCCTGATGTAAAGAGTTGCATGGAGCAACAAGAAGGCGCCTACTGCAGTCTGTTAAATGCTTATTAAATCTCTCATTATTTAGTATAACCCTACCAGTATTCTATAATGCAAATGGTTTTGAAATTTGATTGGCTAATCCGCTCGCCATCTAATCAACAATAGATAGAGTGTAGCGAATGGTAGCGAAGCAATAAACAGCGAGTAGTGAAAAACAAACGTTGCTGCCGACCCTGTCATCTTGCGTTTTACCTATAGGTTTCGGAAATCTTGACCAAATAATCTAATTCCATCCAAACACACAAATAAACATGAATATATATACCAATGATTATGTTTGACAAACTGTTTCAGTTTATTTTAGTTTTCAATGATTTATGATTTGCAAACTGTTTCAGATTATTTAAGAAATAAAAGATATTTACTGTGTTTGCACAGGCTTATGCAAACCGAAGAGACCTTTGGGAGAACTTGAGAGCAGATCAGTGCAAGCCCGAGGCAAGGTCGAGGGTTGCACATGCTCGAGAGTACTCATAAACGTATCCGAGTTTTGCATAAGCTAGTGCAAACACGAAAAACATCTTTTATATTTTTTGCAAAATAAAAACAATGCGAAAACGAGAAACATTTTAATTTTTTCTCTAAAATGCATTCATGATCGATATGCAAATTCTTTTTGATTGAATGATTTTTTAGATTGACATGATTGGTTGAGTTCAGACGTGTTTTGCACTGGCTAATGCAAACTCTAGACCAATCAGCGCACACTCTAGACCAATCAGCGCACACGTTTCATTGTGTTTATTTTATATTTCATCATCAGATTTCAACGTTTTATGTTTTTCCAAACTTTTGCTATGTATAGAAACAAGATTCACTTACCTCTTCAATCCCATTAATGTGATAATTACGTAAAAGCACTATTGCTAATGCGCATTTAATATACACGACAAGTTTTTTTAAGATAGACATGTTTCGACATCTCATGATGCCATCTTCAGTATGAGTGAAATAATAAGTGATACAAGGTTTATATAGAAGTAATATGATACATAAATTACAACAATAAAAAGGAAATAAGATAAATTAATGGGGAGTGTCCGAGCGTATTTTAAACTAAATATTGTATTGAATTTAAAAACTTGAACATTGAGGTCAGGGTTAGTTTTGTTAATGCGGAGTGCTTCTTTCATTTTAAGGATGAATGAGGTGTCGGCAGTGTCGATGATTTTGAAGCAAGAGGGTGAATAGTTCGTTTTACATGAGTGAGATTTAAGAAGGTGTCGGTAGATATGAGAGTTTTTGTCTGTTGTGGTATGTTCGATGATTCTTGTGGATAAATGGCGCGAAGTTTTGCCAATGTATCGGGAATTACATCGCGCGCAATTGAATTCATATACCACCATAGATTTAATTGAATCAGGGATTGGGTCTTTGAATGAGAAAAGGTTTTTGATTTTGAATGATGTGAAAATTAGTGGAATGTCAATATCTGTACAGAAGCGTTTCATAATGTTTTTAAGTCTGCGTTGTGTGTTTCGTGAGTAATGTCCGATGTATGGTAGTTTGAAGTATAGAGTTGTTATTTTGGAACTTTCATTTGCGTTGGTCGTGATCGTCGTGTCAGGAGTTTTGGTGTCTAGTTTGAGGTTGTTGCTTTGTTTGTTGTCGAGATATCGTTTTACGGTTCTGTTAATAAAGTGTAGTGGGAAAGAGTTTCGTTAAAGAGTGGATGTGATGTTTTTTTTATGTCTCGTTGAAAGCCATTGTTCGTATTGTTAAGTTTGTATGCTCTGTCAATTAGTGTGCGTATAAGTCGAGTTTTGTATGAAAGTGGTGTGAAACTAAAATAGTTCATCAGAAGTCCTGTGTATGTTGGTTTGTGATATGTAGATGTTGTACAGCTGTCATGGTATTTTGTTAGAAAAATGTCAAGAAATGGCAGATGATTTTGTTGCTCAGTTTCAAATGAAAATCTAATGTTTGGATGCTGTGTGTTAATGTAATTATAATACTTCGTGGCCTCAGTTTCGTTAGTGAAAACACAAAAAATATCGTCAACGTATCTGCCATTTCGTAAATTGTGGTTTAGTGTCGTTGTAATTGTTCAGCCAGTTTCGTTCATGTGAGCCAGTGAAAATGTTAGCAAATATGGGTGCTAAGGGAGAGCCCATCGCAACACCGTCCGTCTGGTCATAAAATTTTCCATTAAATAAAAAATGCGTCTGTGCTGTTGCTATTAAAAACAGCTGTGTGAGGTCTGTCCTGGGGTTGTGAGTGAATATTAGGTCAATTGCTACGTTGATGGTTTCAGTAAGTGGTATGTTAGTAAACAGGCTTTCAACGTCGTAGGAGATGAAGAACTTGTGACAAGAAGTTGATGAGTTGAAAGATGAGAAGTCGTCGAGGAAAGTGAAAGACTCTTTAGTGGAGTGGTCATCTGGTATGAGTGGTGTTAGTAGAGAACTAAGACTTTTAGCTAAATTGTAATTGTACGAGTTAATTGATGACACTAGCGGTCGTGGTGGAATTATTCGAGATTCGGCAATAACGTTCGGATAATATGTGAAATATTATGATTTCTATTGTGGAACAAAATAACAAGTTACGTATAAGCTAACAACGATATTACAATATCAAGTTCTGAATGTCACTTCATCTGACATGTGTCGTCTCTACTTAATTATGTTTTTCGCGTGATGTTTATATCTTAACACTCCCTTTCGAAAAATATAAACTAATCACTATTCCTTTAAATGTTTGTTACTCCCATATTAGATCTCATTCGTTGAAATACAGTTTTTCCTAATGGTTTCGTTAACATATCAGCAACCACTTGTTGTGACGTACAATACTCAAGTGCAATTTCTTTCTTCAGTACTTTGTCGCGAATGAAATGATATCTTAAGTCAATGTGTTTCGTTTTTGGAAGGGATTTTCTGATTTTTCGACAAACTTGTTGCTCCTTGATTATCCTCTTTAATTCTTTGATGATAGTTGGTTCCTTTTGAGTGAAGTTTAACTCAAGTAGTAATCCTCTTAACCCTACTGCTTCTTGACATGCTTGCGCTGCTGCAACATACTCAGCTTCAATAGATGAGAGAGCTACAATACTTTGCTTTTTGCTTGCCCAACTTACCAATCCACCACAAATCATGAATAGGTATCCTGAATGTGATTTTCGATTATTTGGATCACATCCCTAATCAGCATCAACAAATCTACTTAATTTGACTTCAGATTCCTTATGTCCGTTAAAGCAAATGCCGTAGTTAATCGTACCTTTAATGTAACGTAAAATACGTTTGGCAGCATTCCAATGGTCTTGGCTAGAGTTAGCACAGAATTGATTAACAGTTGAAAGTGCTTGTGGCAGGTCTGGTCTTGTCGCTGTAACTGCATACGTTAATGCACCAATTAATGCTTGATATTTGGTTATGTTCATTGGCTCTCCTTCATTATTCAACAACTTGGTTCCTAGCTCAACGGGAGTTGCAACAGGTTTGCAGTCTTGCATTCTAAATCTCTTCAAAAAATTCGTCAAATACTTTGATTGATGAAGTCGCATTTGTTTCTTTTCCCTGTCTCGTTCAATTTGAATGCCAAGACAGAAATGAATTTCACCTAGATCTTTCATTTCAAAGCGTTTCTTTAAAATACCTTTCGTTGTTACTTCTTGTTGTTACTTTCAAGAATCAAATCATCGACGTATAACGCTAAAAGCATGATATTATCTCCCTTTCGTTTAATGTACGGGCACGGATCAGAATTGGATTGAACGTAACCGGATTTCTTTAAGAACTGATCAATGGTATCGAGCCAGCATCTCGAAGATTGCTTCAAGCCATATATGCTTTTGTTTAATTTACAGACCTTCTGTTCTTGTCCCTTCTTCTTATATCATTCAGGTTGCTTCATATATATTTCCTCTTTAAGTTCACCGTTCAGAAATGCCGTCGACACATCCATTTGGTGTACGTCCAAATCTAACTGATTAGCAATTGCCAAGAGAGAGCGAATTGATGTATATTTTGCTTTTGGAGAAAATGTTTCTTCATAATCCAAACCATATTCTTGTAAGTACCCTTTAGCAACTAACCGAGCTTTATGCCGTTCAATTGCACCGTCTGCTTTGTACTTCACTTTGAATATCTATCGAGAATCTATGGCTTTACGATCTTTATGTAAATCAACCAATGTCCACGTATTGTTTTTTATGTGGGAAGAATATTCACTGTCCATTGCTTGTTTCCATTTCGCCTTATCTGGACTATGAAAAGCTTCATTAATGTTGAGTGGTTCATCGTGACGGATAGATTTATTATCAATGCTAGCGACATTGTTCTGCCACCAATTACCTGTGATCACCACAACAAGTCTATCAGGAAATTTGTGTATTCGTGCTGATCGTTGTGGTTGTTGTTGTTCATCTATCATACTTTTGTTGGAACTATCTTCCATTTCTTCATTGACTTCATGTTCTTCATTGTCTTCTAATAGTTCATCATTCTGTTTTTCGGTCCCAGTATCTTTATCATATCCATGTATTACTATAGTAGATTTCTCTCGTCGATCAAATGAGCTTTCGTCAAATAACACGTCTCTTAATATGTAAATTTTACCAGTTGAAGCTTCGTAGAGTCGATAACCATTACTTTTGAGGCTATACCCAACAAATGTGCATTTCTTGGTTTTGGAGTCCCATTTCTTCCTTGTTTCCTTAGGAACGTGCA